CCATCCAGTCCTATCAAAAGAACTTTCGCAGCCCGCAATCTTTAAAAAAATATTGAAAAACATTTTTAAAAAAATAATGGTATCCTAACTGAATTTCTAAGACACATAAGAGCGCGTCATACTCTAAAATATTTTATTTATTCATTAGAAAACGTATAATCGACAATCAAGAAACGTATTTCATTCATTTTAAAGATCTTTAACAGCCGCGTAATGCGTATTATATCTATAATTCGCAATTTCACGAAATGCCGGTATAACAAATAAGTATCAGTCGGAATATGATAGTAGAACTTACCGTTTCTGTGAATCTAAACCCCACAGACGTAATTGCCTGTCGTACAATTCGGCTTCGTGATCCGTTAATTCTTCCGCCTGCTTGTTCTGATCCACCATCGTGAAAATGTTTATTTATCGCTATGAAACTTTCTTCTTACCGCCAAAAACGTGTTACAGAACCTTTCTGTAATCAACTAATATGGCGCCGAAACTCACACGTATTTCACGCATACGTTGACATTTAGTTCGCGACGCTGTCGCATTCTAAAGGCGCGCAACTACGTCATAGAATGAATAAACGCTAGGTCGGAAACACAGTGACAGATAACTGACTGCGTTTGGAAAATGGTGTATACTTCTAGAGCTACCAATCACGTCTCTTTTTCAAAAGTATATTACACGACCGTATATATGTATTTTCTGAACGCAATCATTGATTGTCATGGGGAGGCGTCACGTGGTTTTCACGTATGTCATGTAAGCACGTGTATGTGTGTATATGTGTTGTATTTACTGGCACAGTCATCATATATGAATGAGAGTATATGTATACGAATGACTTTTCAATACTGTCAGTATTTGCAATCTTCCATAGAGTGTATCCTCAAATTTTGATGAATATAATGAAACGCGAAAAGTAAACGTCGCATCTCTGTGTTTATGTCAAATTCATCAAATTTCTTATCCTCTAATAATCCAAAAAATTTTCTATGCACGGAGACGGAGGTTATATGCGTTAATTACAAGTTGATACAGTTTGATCAATCCAAATATATTATATATCAACAATCGAATGACGCATATCAATGAAACAATGAATGTGAGTACTAAAATAGGATTCACTAGTCTCGAGCAAAAGTTTATTTAGTTTGCCTTCATTATTGTGACATTTATCGCAGCTCATACTAGCTCGAATTGATAAGGCAGGATCGAAATTTAAAAAATATTCTCTCCAGAAAATATATTATCTAAATTATTTGAAAATTTACACTTGGCATTTCAAGAATATATATATTTAGACTGAAGTTGAAATAAAAGCTGGATTATTCACAACCGTAGCATTATTTTTGAATTGCAAAAATATTGAATGCTTTTTTTTGCTGATATTTTACAATCCATCTCACACAATAAATATGTTATTGTATTTATTTAATAGAAATATATCATTTTCCTTATGTTATATGCTCAAATCTGTAACCAATTAAAATTTATAATCAATTATCGCATAGCCATATATATCGACTGCTATTGCTGAGGAATAAATATAGACAACAAACATAATCGGACTTACTATGTACTAAGAATTATCTTTGCCCCTTTAACCTGAATGTTGTGAAAGCTGACCTTGATAGCATAAGTGTTCCAACTTATTTTAAATCTCGTAACGTCTGTCTACATGCTGATAAAAGTTAATTACATGAAATACATCATTCTAATCGGCTACTAACTGTTTCATATAATTATTTTACTGTGCCATTTAGAAAATATATCATTTTGTGGTTATATATCTTTCACAAATATGCCATAAAATTCACATGAAAAATAAATAAATATCATTAAAGATAATGAATAAAGCAGAAGAGGAGCACATTGAAAAGACATTTATCTACAAATTTCCAACATGCACTACAAATCAAGAATATACATTGGAAGTTCCAATAAAAATACCATACCATGGATCCATAAAAGAATTGATGCATCGTATAATGTCATCGTTCAAGCTACCATGTTATGTAGAATCAGACTTATTAGAAGCTCTACAACGTAATATCAAAGAGCTTACACTGCAGTTTTATGATGATAAGTCAGAGAAACTTATTGAAGCTGCCAAAACAGGCAATCTGGATTTAGAAGATATAATTAAAAATTGGGAGAAGATATACAAACAGAAGACAGTAGAATACTCTGATCCCATTGGAACCACAGATGAGGAATTATTTGCAGCAGCGTATCACAGATTAGTACATTCTCCATCTTTGGAACCAATTTTGCAAGCAGAACACAAATTTGGACGGGATGTGACTGAAGTAATTCAAATGAGGAATACTGACTACGACCATCTCACACAAAAGTTGGTATACAGTTGATTACAGTTTTTGTCCATGTTTCTCATTTTTTTCTAAATGCATATTTTGTACATCCTTAAAAAATATGAAAAGTAAGAAATTAGAAATTATTTTTTATGGTTTAGAGAATTTTAATAAGAAATAATTGAGAAAAGAGAAAAAACTAATTTCTCGTGTAAAAAAGAATCCTTTATAAATTGCAGACAGACCGATGAAATGCGCGTTGCCGTCGAGGCTCTCGAAGCAGGATCCACCGAAAAATCAATAAACGATATGGCAGGTCGTCATTTCGAGGAACAGAGTTTATTACAAGGTTACTGGGGATCTAGAATCGATGCTTTAAGATTAGATCAACGGCGACAGTATCGAAATTGGATCATGAGAATGCTCGAGGAACAACAAACTAGTATGATACCCACGCCGGTGTACGTTTTTCTTTTGCGCATTTTGATTTTAATCAATGTAGCAACAAGACTTAAAAAGTCATATCAGAGTAAAAAAATTTATATACTTTACATTTTTTTAACAGTGATTCGCCTATAATACCATTGCCATCGTTACGCCCGGCTTTAGACAAATTCGTGCATAGTGAAGAAAAACATACGACTGATTATCCTCTATTGGAAGAAAGCTTTACGATACATTTGGGATCGCAGATGAAACAAATGCATAACATACGTATATTGACCGGAGACGTGCTGGACTTTTGTCGTACGAAAAATAGCGAATCCGGGTATCTTGTAATAATTTTATCCAAATCGTTAATATAGGATATACCAATGCCTTCTTCCTCTTCGTTTCTCTCTCAGACGGTTATAATAGAAAATATATTAAACTTAGGATGGATCCAACGCCGCAAAGATTGCAAACAGCTTTAGGATTATACTCGAACGATTTGTGTGGATTAGTTCTTCTAAGTGATAATCATTTAGGCAGTTATTCCGGAATAACAAAAGGTATTTTTCAGAATGTAACAAACCGTACATCAACGGTTCTAAATTTTTTTTTGCGGTGTCAACAACACATTTTTGCCATGTTAAAATACTATATCGTTGCAGAATTATGCTCGATATGTCAATTAACGACAGAATTTCATTTCCCGCCGATCGATGAACAGTTGGAAAAAATTAAGGAAGACGTGAAAGATGCCGTCGCCTGGAGGCAGGCGCATTACAGAGAGGGAAGTGATCCTCATGTAGGTGATATTGTTAAAAATTTGACTTGAAATTGATAATTATCATATGTATATAATTATATATATCTTTTACAGACGAAAAAATCCACGACGAGTAAGAGCTTGCAAACGGGCGATGTTTTTGTCACGAGACATTCTAATCTGGCACAAGTTCACGTAGTATTTCATATGGTGGTGAATGACTCTTTGAGATCTGGTAAATGATCGTATTTACAATCATAAATTTCTCGTTTTACATCCGATTTATATACTTGATACGCGATCTTAATTTTATTAGGTGATATCAATTCAAGGCATCCCGCTATTCTGGGACTGAGAAACATTTTGAAAACTGCATGTTGCAACGATGTGACAACACTGACCATACCCGTGCTACTCGTCCACGAAATGTCAGAGGTAATCTATCGCACAGATAACTCAGGCAAATAATTCTTAGATAATTAAGTGAAAATGTAATTAACATCGATATGACGGGCATAGGATATGACGGTCGCCTGGTGCACGAAGCGAGCAGAGCTAGTCTTCAAATGCGTGAAAGGTTTCATGATCGAAATGGCGTCTTGGGGTGGAGCCGAGCTGAAGAATCTCCAGTTTCTTGTGCCGAAAGTAAGTCTGATGCGATAAGAGTAATCTCTGTCGAGATTAAAAAAAAAAAAAAAGATGTAAACATGCTGACGAAACCGTTATTTATTGCTTGCAGGGAATGTCGGAGGAAGTTTTCGGAACATTAGCCACAATGTTGCCCAGCATATTTCGAGTGTCAAATCCGCTAGTTTTCAAGGCCACCAGCACCCCGCAAACTCCGAAAAAGTAAATGATTTTTCTTGCCTCTGTTATCGTTGCGCATACACTCGCGTGGAGAATATTTATTACTGTGTACATCGCTCATATGCAGTCGCAATTATCCATCGCAGGCGCGAAAAAGATACGACTCTGTGAATAAATGTCTTTTAATGAGCTTTTTGTTTATACTACTTTCACATAATTAATTGCCCACCGAGTCAATCCGATATTCGCAATGCCAAGTTTTTCCATCAAATATTTCGGAATTTACATTGAATATATCAAACAAAAGCAATGTATATTTTACCGCTCTTATATTATCTTTTAATGAAATTAATAAGTGAAATATTAACATCATATTTGTTTGTATTCTATTTCTTCACCTAATACTAATTTCTCACAGAACTATATTAAACTTTTAAAAATTTTCTAATAATTACATAATTATTTGTCTCTATTTGCAAAATTAGTTCAACATAAAAAATTCAATATGTTTATAAAAATATATGCATCTAAAAAGAAAGGCATCGCAGAATTTGTTAAATAATTTCAATAAAAATAATATCGAATAAGATAAACAAAACGAACATAGGCAGCATTATCGCCGTTAGACGCGCGACACAGAGAGCAAGGTTTATCGCTTTTAGCCATATTTTTATTTTCGTAGCAGAGCAGATATGCTAACAGCATTTCGGACGCGAGTCTTGTCGCGAGATGCAACATTAACTCATCTCTCCGCGCGTTCTAATAACTCATAAATTTCGCAAACTCAGAGATACTATTCCAATAATGTTTAATTGAAAAAATATGTGCGATTAAGTGTGGCAGAGTGAGACAATCGCCGACCAGCTGCCGCAAATCGGTGGATTTACGTGCGACGGCGTCGCTTCATAATCGCCAATTTATCTGAAAGCGGTACGTTAGCCTCGATGAATTTGAACTTCTGACCGAGGACAAATTAAATTTAACGCTCGGCGCTGACGCGAGAAGTCGTTCTGTGAAAAATTATTTGTTTTCGATGCGGCCTGCGTAACTAATACGATCGTGCATTCGAACTTTATCAAATTGAAAGAGATAAAATATACAGGTAGTTAAATATTTTTGTTAACTAAATTATTCAATAACATGCAGGAATTAATTACTAATCTATATTCAAATACAGTGCATAAGCAAAAACAGTGATCGCATTGTTAATATGATGAAACTATTTTTGTTTATCAATAAGATCACACTGGTCCATTGGAGGAAGATTTTAAAAAGATAAGGCGACAAATCATTGATTTCACTATAACAAATAGGGCGTGCAATTATATTGCCGATCGAAGCGTGGAGTGCATTATAATATCCAATTGATTCTTTAACCCCCCTCTTAATTCGACACTGCAATCTTCAGCAGAGTATCGTGGATGAATTCCATTCCATTGCCATTCCATCGAATCGCGGTGTAAGAAGCATAGTTGACGCTAGGTGGTCCCGGTGGTGCGGTCGGGTGCATCGAGAAATCGGATCGCAAAAAAAAGCATCGACTAATCAGATACCACCTGGCATGATGTGGCTCGGATCATTCATATTTTTGGCCATTGTCGTTTTATTCGTCTCGGCGACAACGGTGGTGGGTTTTTTTCCGCGATGTTTATGATTTTCCGACGGAACACCCGGTGACATACTTCCGGCTTGTATCGCGAATATCATCTTCCGGTCGTGTTTATCGCTTTTTTAAATTTCACCCTTTCTTGCGGGAAGAATCGCCGTTTGCAATTTAAATTATGTTTCTATAAACTCATTCTCTAAATTTATATTCTGTGCATGCTAAATATTCTCTTTTGCTATTTCTAATAGAAGATACGTAAAATTAACATCGGTTTCAATATTGTTGAGTCTCGTTTGATCGTATACGTGTTCCAATGACAATCGGAGATCGTTTTGTGAATGAATTAAAATTGCTTAATAGGCTGTTTGCGTTGCAGGTTGATCTGTCATTCCATAAATTAAAAAAAGAAACTTTCTTTGTGAGAATGCAATCGCAATATAATCATTTGAAAGGAGTGACAGACCTCAATTTGAAGGGAAACGAGTTTGACAGTTTCCTAGATTGCTCCACTAATTTAGAAAATCTTAGAACGCTAGATTTGTCCCAGAATCATCTCGTACGATTCTTTTTCCTGTGCAAAGAAGAATATAATCTGCAAGTGTTAAATGTGAGCCACAATAAATTAGAGTACATCGATGACAATGCTTTCAATGATCGGATACCAAAGCTGAAGATATTAGATCTTTCTTTCAACAAACTCACTGTCGTTAATGAAACCATGCTGCAATATTTCACGGTAATAATACATTTAATGAAATTTTACTTTTACAGATAAATTAATTTTTTACTTTTCGTAAAAATTTTAACGCGTTTTCAAAGTTCGTGATCTTAACAAAACGCGACCGATTATATTTTTTTTTAGGTTCTCGAATATCTATCTCTATCTCATAATCCTATAGGAGATGGGATACATGAAAGCGCATTTTGGAACTTAGAAGCACTGAAGCATCTTGATCTGAAGAATATATCCGCACCATATTTTTCATCCGTTTTCTTCAAGACCTTGACGAATCTGTCAACCCTCGACCTATCCTGGAATCCAATCGACACGATACCTCTATTACCGATAAATTTGCAGGAGTTGGATTTATCCGGCACGCAAGTGATAAGTTTTGAAAAATTGTATCTACCAAAGTTACGAGAACTGAAGCTGAACTACATGTCGAACTTAACATCATTCGCGCTGAATGATCTCGAAAACCTCACCGGTCTGGAGATATTATCAATGATCGGTTGCAGACGATTAATTCAGCTTAGCCTTTGGCCGCAGCTCGGTGTTGTGCTACCTCGGTTGCAACATCTCTCGATAAAAGAGTGCGGCCTTGAAACCTTGGATATCGAGCTGCGTGCATTGGTGAAACGAACACCGGTCGTCGAGCTGGACAACAATCCCTGGAAATGCGATTGTAAATTGGAATGGATCGGTCTGTTAAATTCGAGCAGAAATCTCAGTCGAGATATCAGGTGAGCGACAGAGAACGATATTATTCTCAGTTGGTACAGTATCGATTAAAAGTAGAGCAAATTATGAAGACTTTATTGTGTTATCACTTTATTTCGCTTTCATTTGGATTATTTAAAATATTCTTGTTACCCACAAATAATCATAGTTGACGCTAGGTGGTCCCGGTGGTGCGGTCGGGTGCATCGAGAAATCGGATCGCAAAAAAAAGCATCGACTAATCAGATACCACCTGGCATGATGTGGCTCGGATCATTCATATTTTTGGCCATTGTCGTTTTATTCGTCTCGGCGACAACGGTGGTGGGTTTTTTTCCGCGATGTTTATGATTTTCCGACGGAACACCCGGTGACATACTTCCGGCTTGTATCGCGAATATCATCTTCCGGTCGTGTTTATCGCTTTTTTAAATTTCACCCTTTCTTGCGGGAAGAATCGCCGTTTGCAATTTAAATTATGTTTCTATAAACTCATTCTCTAAATTTATATTCTGTGCATGCTAAATATTCTCTTTTGCTATTTCTAATAGAAGATACGTAAAATTAACATCGGTTTCAATATTGTTGAGTCTCGTTTGATCGTATACGTGTTCCAATGACAATCGGAGATCGTTTTGTGAATGAATTAAAATTGCTTAATAGGCTGTTTGCGTTGCAGGTTGATCTGTCATTCCATAAATTAAAAAAAGAAACTTTCTTTGTGAGAATGCAATCGCAATATAATCATTTGAAAGGAGTGACAGACCTCAATTTGAAGGGAAACGAGTTTGACAGTTTCCTAGATTGCTCCACTAATTTAGAAAATCTTAGAACGCTAGATTTGTCCCAGAATCATCTCGTACGATTCTTTTTCCTGTGCAAAGAAGAATATAATCTGCAAGTGTTAAATGTGAGCCACAATAAATTAGAGTACATCGATGACAATGCTTTCAATGATCGGATACCAAAGCTGAAGATATTAGATCTTTCTTTCAACAAACTCACTGTCGTTAATGAAACCATGCTGCAATATTTCACGGTAATAATACATTTAATGAAATTTTACTTTTACAGATAAATTAATTTTTTACTTTTCGTAAAAATTTTAACGCGTTTTCAAAGTTCGTGATCTTAACAAAACGCGACCGATTATATTTTTTTTTAGGTTCTCGAATATCTATCTCTATCTCATAATCCTATAGGAGATGGGATACATGAAAGCGCATTTTGGAACTTAGAAGCACTGAAGCATCTTGATCTGAAGAATATATCCGCACCATATTTTTCATCCGTTTTCTTCAAGACCTTGACGAATCTGTCAACCCTCGACCTATCCTGGAATCCAATCGACACGATACCTCTATTACCGATAAATTTGCAGGAGTTGGATTTATCCGGCACGCAAGTGATAAGTTTTGAAAAATTGTATCTACCAAAGTTACGAGAACTGAAGCTGAACTACATGTCGAACTTAACATCATTCGCGCTGAATGATCTCGAAAACCTCACCGGTCTGGAGATATTATCAATGATCGGTTGCAGACGATTAATTCAGCTTAGCCTTTGGCCGCAGCTCGGTGTTGTGCTACCTCGGTTGCAACATCTCTCGATAAAAGAGTGCGGCCTTGAAACCTTGGATATCGAGCTGCGTGCATTGGTGAAACGAACACCGGTCGTCGAGCTGGACAACAATCCCTGGAAATGCGATTGTAAATTGGAATGGATCGGTCTGTTAAATTCGAGCAGAAATCTCAGTCGAGATATCAGGTGAGCGACAGAGAACGATATTATTCTCAGTTGGTACAGTATCGATTAAAAGTAGAGCAAATTATGAAGACTTTATTGTGTTATCACTTTATTTCGCTTTCATTTGGATTATTTAAAATATTCTTGTTACCCACAAATAATCTCTATCTGGAATAATATATTGTGAAATAAAATGATAACAATACTTGCGTCTTGCCATTACATGAAGCTTCATTTCATTGCCTTTAGATGTCTCGAGAATTCTATGAATTAAAGCTTTTTTCATTAAATTGAAAGTATTTTACTAAAATAATGAGTTTGATCAATTAAAGTTTTATATTTAGATATAGATATCATAACCGACATTATAATCTAACTTTATTTTATAGCATATTAAATCATTAAAAATGACGAAAATATAAATATCCATTATATTTGTACAACAGATGCTACGCACCGGATCAACACCATGGCAAACTACTCGCTGAAATACCAAACTACGAGCTGGAATGCGAATACGACTCATCAATTCTTTATCCGATTCTGTGGACATGTCTCTCGCTAATAATTGTTTTCCTAATCATCGCCATGATTGTAGTCTTCTTCAAACGACCGATAAGTCAATGGAGTTTTAAAGGAAAAAACGGGGATACCGTCACGTACAAGAATGTCATCGAATCGAACAATGATCTGGTCCGAATATTGGCGGTATCCGAGGCGCACGAACGCAACGAAGAATGAAGCCAAATTAAAGAGAAAGAATACACAAGAGTATACGGACAATCATTCGGCTTAATCGTAGATATTCCATCGTAGATATATCATCAAATTTTTTGCAAAAATTTTGTTACAATATTTACTTTGAATAATATAATGTAGCATTGTTAATGTGATGACACAACGTAAAATGTCAACAAGAATAGATATTGATGTATATAGAGTAATCTAAAAATTACTATTTGCAAGGTGTTAAAATTTTTATGTGCCCGATAATAAGATTAATTCCAGGATTACACCGTTAGATAACAAATTATTACACAATCAAATATATATTGTAGTAAACACTAAGAAAAGTCTTTTATGCCACGCTCTGTAAATTCGAAAGACCATGTGCCATGGATTCGAGTACTCGTAGGGTATTCCCAGTGTTCGATAATAATGCGAAACTCTTCTGCGGTCGAATAAAACGTCTTTTTTTTCTGTCGGTAAGAATCGGCGTGTTTTAAAAACCCCTTTACCTTTGTTCCACGCGGCGCGTCCGTTGCCATAGCACAAAAGAAAAGCGGATACAAAGAACGCAATGGCTCATTTGCCATGAATGACGGCAAGATCCTCTTCCGCGTAACGACGCGGCAACGCGTAGCTGAACGCACGAATTATCGTGCGTGGCATCTTGAGAACGCATAACTAATTGAAGTTCTACGAGATTCCGCCGCAACGAGTTCAGTCTCCGGTTGAACCTCTTCCGAATGATGAACGAAAGAAGAAGCTCTCTATACAGAGTTTCTTTAGAATCGAAGTCAACCCTGAATATGAGTTTTATTCTGAGACATTACGTACTTTAGAACAGAATAAAAGATATTTCTTTCAAATATCTTTCACGTGCTTTTGCTTCGAAAAAGAAATTATTAACGATCGAATCAAAGGTTTTCTAACGGCTTGCTGCGAAATGTAAAAAGAAAATTATCCTTTGTAAGCTCGTTGATGTTTTACGACTTACATATTATAATGCACATTGGAAAACTATCGAAAAAAATATTTTTATAATTAATTCTTTTTTAATCTACATTTTTATATTACATTTATTTTTCAACATAACTATTTAAATCTCGATAAACACGATCGTGCGAGCGATCCAATCAGATATTGGTTTGCACGACACTTCGATCGTTGATGAAACGTTAAGGTGCAGGACGTTACGCGCTCCGTTCTAGGAAGGGGCGCATATATTGGCGTGTTATACGATGAGCCAGCAAATGGTGCTATGAAGATCGTCAGTTTACGTGACGTGCACCGTGATCGCGTGCGATGTAGCGATCAGCCATTGTATCGAGGTATGATCTTCCTATGGGAGGCCTATATTGGGTTACGCCCGAGCAGAAAGAGAGGCCCCCATGGGCAAGGATGCCCGGGGAGTCACAACATGCAGAAGAGAGGAGCGCAAAGAATCATTGAGGAAGATGCGCCGCGCCGTGTCGAGAACGGAAGCCCGCGATTACAATAATTCTTTGCGTGTTAAGGTACGCCCAACATAAATGTGCAGTTGTCCTCTTTACTCTACGCGCCTTTTTTCCATATATCAGGATCAATCCGTCAGGGTGCGGTAAATCTCGTTTGTTTTTGACGCCATTTCATCTCTTGTTAATCTAGTGATTAGACGTCTCTTCGTTCATATTCTTTAAAAATTTTACAAAAGTGTTTGACAAAAGTTCAACTCACTATATTATATTATAATAAATTTTCGTATATATATTATTTTATAAACAACAAAATGTAAAACTTCCTTACGTTATGCCAAAATCTCCATGTAAAAATCTTTTAATTTAATTTAATTTTTATTTATATGTGTGACTTATACACATCATACATTATTCTTACAATTAGTTCAATTTATATGAAAAGTTGTACGTGATTCGAATTTAATTTAATTTTCATTAACAATGAAAACATCCGCTGCTCTGCGTATCGCATATCCCTTACATGGAACATCAATTTGAATCAACGAGAACTCCGCACGTTTTTCATCCGGAGTACGGATAAAGCGATTGAACATTGCGGAATATTTTTTTCATCGTGCCAGTGAGCGAACACAGGGGTTGAAGGGGAGGTTTTGGCGGCAAGAGGAAAAGAGAGAGGAGGAGGTGAGCGATAGAGGTTCTACCCTCCTTGCGGGGCGGTGTCGAGTATCCGTAATTCGAGATTCCGTGCGAGCCAATTTGGCGAGAGCCGGTGGAAAAATAATACACCGCCTACCAGCACGAGATATCGCGAGAGCGTGCGGAGGCGAATTTTAACGGTCAAACGACGAAACACGTGGGCGGACCATGTCGTGGAATATCGTGTTTCGGACCGTGAAGAGAAGATCCTATACCGGAATCCTAAGACGCCTCGCTCTGGCGTTTTGTTGGAAAAACAGCGTGGGCGATATTGCCCGTACCCGATGACGGTCGAGATACTTGCCCCCAAGTATTTAGCCGAACGAGATGATATATATCGACACCTTGGGACAAGCAATATCCTTGTGCTTCGGAGCTGGAGAGGGATAAGCATCTCGAGTAGATTATAGATTGTAATAAATTAACGAGATAATTTTTTTATATTGAAATATAATAGATACTGAAAAAAGAAAGAAAAGTACAATTACTCTGATAAAATATATTAAAAATTTACTGCCCTGTTCTTACATAATTTAAGTGTTGGTTCTTAACCGTAATTAGTCAAAGACATACTATATATCTGAATAAGTTAGATCGTGATTAATTTTTCTTTCACTTTTTACACATGTGAACGAGCATATACGTTCTTCTGAACGACAGAAAAATTTCCCGAGGCACGCACTTTATTAATCAAGCGCACAGCTGACTTAGCGCTCGGCGAAACATATTTTTATAACAACCCTCTACATTACGATTCGTTAAGCCAGCGTCTGCATTAACTAAGCTAATCCCTTAATTACGTTCCTCTTATTTCTCCTCGCTTCTTCTCTCCCGCCCTTCTGGCGGCGACTCTCACGCTTCCTGCATCATCCTTCACTTGGTAATTAAAGAATTTGATGAAATCCCGCGGACGTATATACGCGGAAAAACACACGGCGAACGCATCCGCAAACAGGTAACTTTCGCACGCGTTATATAGCATGATATACAATATTGTTGCTTTCAAGTCGCCGCATAATACGTCACACGCTCAAATATCACACCGATTCAATTAACGTAATCAACGAATAATTATCAGTCACAAGAGAGAGAAAGAGAGAGAGAGAGAGAGCTCTATTTCGCACATTTAATAATAACAGATATTATGATGTGGCAAACACACGCGAGATAACTCTGATAACATTATATTTTAATGAGAGTATTGCTCCATTCATAAAATGCATCATTCGCGAATTAATTGCGAGTCTCTTCAGCAACTTTAACATACAAGTGACACAGACTCTTACAATATTACATTGCATATATGCTGACAGACATCTGTCCTCGTTACACGTTAAACCATATGCACTTACAGACGTGCATCCAAACGCGCGTTTTGCATCGACCAAAAACAGCCGCATGCCGCGGAGCGATTTTCGCCGACGGGGTTTTATCTGATTAAACCGACGTAGAAACATGGGGTTATACGTGTAAGCTTTCCGAGCCTGTCTATGGGGAGAGAGGCCGAACAAATGAATAATGAAAATAAAACCCTGGTGATGCTATCGGTAAGCACCACGGGATTACGTACGCATCAGCGCGCCCGCGATGAACTTATATTATGGAACCCTCCGTGTATATACGTGTTGCACTAACACGCGTGTTAACGCGCGCGCGCGCGCGCGCGCGTGTGTGTACGTGCGTGAGTGCGTGCGCGCGAGACCGCAAAAGGAAAGCAAGCAGCTTTTTCGCGCCTAAGAGTTTGGCAAGTTTCTCGCACCGGTATAAGCATTTAAATAGGAAATCAAGGACGACTCTAAAATGCCTCACACATTTACGTATAATGTAATGATTTGTTACCACGAGAAGAGATATTTTATTTATAACAATTATTTATAACAATATTTTGTGCAAATAAAAATTGTGCAAAATGCAATCTTTTTTTATGCAATCTTTTTTTTATGCAATAGAGTTATCTCTGGTTTTACGAATTATTCTGTATGAGTTTCAGTATCTGTGACAATCCGATACTAATACTATAAATAATAACACCATTATTTTAGATCGTTATTTCGTCAGATTAATAATATGAAGGAAGATGTAGCAAACAATGGAAAATAAGACGAAATCTGACAATGACCCTTACTGCTAGGGTGTTCGTTCACAATTGTGTGCGCGATTGTCGTGTGTAGGTACTTTTGAATAGTCGTCTTTTGGGTAAAAGACAGCGTGCCTGTGGGGTGTAAGTATCACCAGCCGCAATAGTTGCCAAATGTGTCGGTCGTTGGTCGGAACACGCCGATTATGTCGAGGTGTGAATTTACGGACACGACCAATAGCTGATCGTGAACACAAAGGAAAGGCCCCACGGGCCAAGCCGCTTACGATCAATACCTCGATCTTTCGATCTCGTCGCGTTCGGCCGTGAGAGTGTCCATTCGGAGCACAATGGTGAATGGGCGAAAAATACGCTTTTTAAATACTCACCGGCTACTCGCCGACCTAGAATTGACCAGGACTTCCGACAAGTAAGTCTCCGTAAGTTCGGGAAAGGCACGTTCCATGCACAGGATAATATCGTGTTATCTGTGGCGCCGAATGTAACATCGACTTTTTGCCATTTAAAAATTCTGCTCATCTCTTATCCCAAGAATCTCGTAAGTTTCTGCAAATAGAAAAAATAACATACTTTGAATGAGGAGAAAGTTTTCGAATTTTTCTTTAGACAATTAAAACTGATGGAGATTACTTGAAAATTGATGACTACTATTCAACGTTTGAAATCAGCATAGCAACAATAAGATAAATAAATGATAAATGAATCGACAATTGAACAATCTTTGCAATATATTTCGAGTGATCAGTTTAGAAAGTCCGACCAAAATTTTGGTTTCGGTTTCGGTTACGGCCAATTTCGGTTAAAAATCAGGGTTTCGATTTGATTTCGGTTTCGGCCGAAACAGAGAGGAATTGTTATTAGTTTCGCCGACTAGTGTGGCAAGCAAACATCTATTTAGTTTTGCTGGGCAGATTTATGTGGACAGGCGCATAATAATCTGGTGAAAATGGAATAAAAAATAGGGATGGATGAATAAATGAATAAATAAAAAAAAATAGTTAGATGGAAATAATGAATATGGAGAAATAAAAAAATAATAAAATTCAATATTATAATGTTTTATAGTATATTATTTTGTAATATTATTTGGGTACTTGGGGAATATTTTAATAAGATATTTAATAAAACCTTATTTTAAAAATATATATGAATTTGATTTTCTAATCATATTTTTAAAATCATAATAGCTTTTGTAAGACTTCTTCAAAAGTTTCGGTTTCGGCTGAAATTGAGAAAAA